AATCCCGGAGAGCCTGAGTTCCTGCAACTGTCTGGGATGAGGATGGAGAAGAGTTTAAAATGCTGGTTCAGCGAGTTGTGGTGGCCCTCGTGATGAGTCAGTCCCAGCGCTCAGAGAGGCAGAGGCAGGGGGATCTCTGAGTTTGAGGCTGGACAGGGCCGTACGGTGAGACGCTGTCTCAAGCAGCAAACAAAATACTGTCTCAAGGTGGTGTGCGCGTGGTGCCAGCATTGGGAAGGCAAGAGGGTAAGGAGCCCAGGCTTATGGAGACCAGCCTGGGCTGTCGGACTGTGTGTCTCAAAACAGAAATCAGTGGGTGGTGGTATGGGCGACTGGGTGGTGGGGTGCAAAGCAGCTTTGTGGGGAGGGAGAGCTACGGGGAGGAAGTGGCATTTTGAGACTTGAAGGAAGTTTAGGGGAAGCATGGGGGGGCATTCTTGGAAGACCGGAAGTGTCAATGACAACCACCCACCGTGGGGTATGCCACCCAGTCTGCAAAGAGACCGATGTGACTGGGAGAGGTCAGGGAAGGGTGTTAGGCACCGAGTCAGATCTGAGCCAGTGGAAGCCAGGGAGGGACAACCCTCCTACACGGCAGGTGTGTGTGTGACCCCCCAGGCTCACAGCAGTCTTCCCACGGCCCGGCCGGCGGAGCAGGGGTTGGCAAACTTTGGCCCAAAGCCCACCCCAGCCCACAGCCCGTTTCTGTAAATAGGTTCTGTTGGCCCATAGCCACACTTGACCTTTCCCCACGTACTGACTGTCTGTAGCCATGTCACTGTTTCTGCAGCTCCTTCAGGAAAAGCCTGCCAAGATGCCGCTGTAGGAGGCAGAGGCAGGGGGATCACTGCAAGTTCAAAGCCAACCAGAGACAGATACATGGAGCGTCTTGGCTCTACCTTTCCCAGCCTCCCCAAAAGCTTGCTTGTTCTTTTTTTGGGGGACCGTTTGTTCTTTATAAGTAGTAGCACCCACCGGCAGGAGCGCTTACATTTTAAATCCACAAACCTAGTGAGGGCCAGAGCCGGGATTTGAACCTTAGACTCCTTTCCTTGATCATATCAAGAGCAAAGGACCCCGAAAGAACTTGGGGGGCATGGGGGGTGACCTAAGACACTGAATTCAGGGGCTCAGTTTCTGATAAGTCGCTGAGAGTAGGGGTGTGGTGGGGTGTGAAGCATAACCTTGGGAAAATAAGTTACATACTTATCTGCGCCGTTTCGTCCCTTCCCATCTCCTTACTGTTGGGGTAAGCTTGCGAATTCTCCTCTGCTTCCTCTTCCTCCACCCAGAGTTTCCTTTCCTTTCTCCCGAGTTTCACTTCCCCTACCCCATGCCATTCTCAGGCCCCCAGGCCTCCTGGGCTTGCTTTTCACTCAGGGACTATCCAGGAGGGGGCAGAGTTTCTTTGACCTGAAACTGATGGTACTGAGCCTGGGTGAGTGGGCCCTAGGCCTCCCGGCCTCTTCCCATTCCAGGTTTGAGAGCCTCCCAGGGCCAGGTTGGGGTTGGCTTGGGGGCAGGACGAGCTCACTCTGAAAGGGCATTTGCTCACAGCACTGAGGCCTGGACCCAAGAGGGAGGGAGAGACAGAAGCAAGGGTACACCAACGCAGGCTGTAGTCACGGGAGCCGCTCTAGAACGTGCTAAACACTCCCCCCACAGCAGAATAGTGTCCCACAACCGCACCGACACGTTCACCTCTCAGGACTAGTGGTGTGTGGATTCTGACACCTGGCCCCAGTCACTCACAGGCCACACATACACAGACTGTAAATGTCCCAGCCCTGGGACCTCACGGGGACATAAGTAGAGAGTTAGATAGGAAAGGCCTTCACACAAATATATTCCACAGGGCCACAGTTCTGCCACATGCCAGACAGAGTCCCAGGCTCACACACATCACAGCAGCAGAGCCATTTTGGAAAGCAGACTCCCCCCCCCCCCAGCAGTTACACAAACATCCTGCACAGGGTCATGGTCATTGCATGACCCATCACAAACCCACCCATACCACACACACTGAGGTTTTATACACGTCACAGATCCGGCCAGACTACTAGCAGCTACCGTCTGGCACCCTTCACGCACACCCGCTTGCTTGGGGAGTCCCAAGTGGCCTCCCAGACTCAGACACAGTCACACCCAGGATCCTAGACGTAACAGCTCCCACGCACCCAGACACACCCCCAGGCTTGCCGAGCCCTTACACCAGACCTTCACCCTGGAGCTTGCCTGTGGACATGACAAATGCTGGCTGTGCCCCATGCCCTGCCCACTGGTGACATAGCCCACCCATCTGCCTGTTGCTCCTAGGCAGGCCTGGCCTGGCTGCTGGCGGGCATGGGGGAGGGTAAATTGCAGGCTCAGCACCTCTGCTGGCCTTTGCGCTGCGCTGCGCTGGCATTATCATTCCGGCCTGACCCAGCACAGCTGGGACACATCCCTCCTACTCAGGGACATCTACCTCAGGCAGCATAGGGCTCAGGGTCCCTGGGTAGGTCCTGCCCCTTCGGCAGCCGGGGCATGGGGGAAGTTGTGGGGGGGGAGCCTGGGTTCCGGCTGGAGCCCCAGTTTCCCGTCCAGCGTCCTGAGCAGGAAGCAGCCAAGGAGGCCTGAGCAGGCCTTCCTGCCCCCTCCTGGACCTGCTGGGTTTGGGTGAGTGGGGGGGGCGGGGGAGGACAGGAACAAGATCCCCCTTGAAGCCTAATTCCCAGGCATACACTGTGGCAATGCCTTTTGTTTCTAAGGTGACCTTATAGGTATTAAGAGCTCCAATGCATAATACTCCTCTCTCCTTCCCGCCTCCCCCCTTGCCTGAGGGCTTTTGGCCTGCATGGCATCGTCACTTTGGGGTGTGTGTTCCCAGCACATACGTGTTTGTGGCTAGTGCCACATTTCTGCCCAGTGACAAGCTGGGTACTTTCTGTGGGTTCTCCGCTAGCTCTGTTTGCTGGTGAGAGGGCATACCAGTGGGTTTTGTATCTGGGATGATTTTTGGGTCTGATCCCTCCCTGCCCCCCATCTTCTCAGTACCCTGGGTATAAATGTTTCCAGTTACTGTCAGTTCTACTTGACACTGGGGTGTTTCCTATGTGTTTGTGGGTCTGTGAGAAGGATTTTTTTTTTTGAAAGCTGTTGTGTTTTGTTTCTCACGAGCCATTTTTGATGTACATGTATGTTAGTTGTGTGCCTTGTGGGTGGGTGATTTGAGTTACAACTTTGTGTGTGTTAAAGGCTTAGTTGAAATTTTTAATTATGTACATGGGGAGGGGTATGCATACATGAGTGCTGGTTCCAGTGGAGGTCAGAGGCAGGCATCCGATTTCCCTGCAGCTGGAGTGACAGGTTAAGTGAGCTTTACCTGATATGGGAGCTGAGAACCGAACCCAGGTCCTCTGGGAGAGCTGTAAAGGCTTCTAACTGCTGAGTCATCTCTCTGGTCTGTTGAGAATGTGGAAGTTAGACCTAGGGGTTCAAGTGTGCTGGGGAAGTCGTTTATTACTTACCCACATCTTCAGCCTCAGGGTCCCATGTAGCCCAGGCTGGCTTTGAACTTGAGCTCCTCGTTGTCCTTGACCTTTTCCTCTCTTTAGAGTGCTCCTAGTACAGGTTTTATGCAGCATTGAGGATGAAGCCCCAGCCCTCTAGCCTTGAGGGCTGCGTTTTGTGATTAGCGTGTTTTGTTCATAGTTCAACACATACTTCACAGTTTGTACCCATGGTGTGTCTCCAACACACCGTGGCTGTCCGTGTCCATGTGGGAGGCCATACTGGGCTGAGGCCTGCATAGTCTTTTAGACTGCCATCAGTGGAGGTGGGCATTTGTGAGCAGGTGTCAAAGTCACCTTGGGTTGGTGACTTCAGTCTGTGAGCTGTATGGGTCACCTTTGAGTGTCTGGAGGTGTCAACATCAGGATTGTGGTGTGTGTGTGTGGGTGGGGGGAGGGGTTCACCGTGTGCTGACGTTTTCAAAGGAGGGAATTTCCTATCTTGTGAGGCCATTGGCTGTTGTGTGACCGGTGCCGGTTGGCCTTTGTGCTGAGTGGAGCCTGTCTGCGGTGTCCCCTTGCTGGCGGGTGCCACGCTGGCTCAGGGCTGGCTGTGGCAGCGGGCAGGGCAGGGCAGGGGCTGTGGTGGGCACTGGCCTTAAGCCCAGCCTCGGTATAAATATCCCCAGGCTGCCCGCTGCTGTTTACTCGGCCCCAGCCCCGGGGGCGGCCCCAGCAGGTCCTGTGTGTGTGTGGGGGTGGAGACCAGGCCACAGCACAGACATTTCCTTCTGTTCAGACAGGCCAGCAGCCTTGCTGCCCTCTCGTGGGTGGGGACAAGGTGGTGAGCCCTTGTGTTCGGTTCCTGGGGGTCAGCACTGGAGCTCTGACCTGGATTTCCCAGGGTTGGGAGACAGACGGGGAAGGGGATGGACCGGGAGACTGCAGGGAGAGGGACAGGAAGGAAGGGAGGGCGAAGGCTGGCAAGCCTTAGAGAGGGCCAGGCCACAGACACCGTGTAGCAAGAGCTAAGAGCCTTCAGAACCATAAGGGATAGCGGGATGGGGGGGGCACAGCTGGGGGAGGGAGGAAAAGGGGGCAGTGAGGGGCAGGCAGGGACCTCTCCAGAAGGCGGCCGAGCCTGGGGGGACAGGCAGGAGAGAGGTGGGGGTAGGCATGGGTACAGGGCAACAGCCATTGGAGGCCAGGCCAGGCAGGAGACAAGGTGGGGACCGGATGCCCACAGAGGGTTCTCCCTCCCTGACTCAGCCTCTCCGCCCACCCCATCCCCAGATCAGAGGCAGAGGCGCCAGCCACCTTGGGGGCTGCTCAGGCAGGGTGTGCCTTTGCTGTCTGCCCCTCCTCCGCCCCCACCTTTCTTCCTGTCTCCTCATCTAATCCCCTGTCCCTGTGGTAGATGTAACCATCTGCGTAACCCCAGATACTGACTCAGTGGCTGGGCGGCTCAGCTCTTTTTAAAGTTACGTAACAAATGGATGGATGGCAGCCTTTCTATCTTAAAGAAATTTAATGATGCCACAGAACACTGGCCAACTGTGGAAATACTTAACTCCCCCAAGAGCGCTGCTCTTGGCTCCTGTCCCACGGGGATGCCGGCTGGGGGGCTCACAGTGTTAGTGTTACAGCTCACACTGTTACAGTGCCTCCATCATACACGCTCCCATGTAAGGAAGTCTGTCTTCCTACCAACGCCACTGTCCAGCCCTGGCCTGGCAGTCACATGCTGGCGGCCTGGCCGAGTGGTGTGTAGGAGTGTGTCCCAGTCTTGGCTCTGCCTGGGAGGCCAGGTGATCTCACAGATGTGGGTGGCCTTTCTGGGCCACTTCCATGGTTTGTGACAGGTGGCAGTTGTCAGGAGGTGTCACTGTGCCAGGCAGCCTTGCCCAGGAGCTGCTGAGAAGGACCTGTCCACATTTCCAGCTTCTTTATGCAGACACCCTCTGCCCCCCGGTAGCTCTTCAGGGAGTTTAGCTGACCTGGGTGTCAGGACCTTGGCTCTTTGACAAGCAGTTTTGAGGGTCCTGCAGGCATGGCCGGAACAGAATGCCCCAACTGTCTCAGAGCAGCTTGGGTCCTGAGGCTCAGACGCGCTAGGTCCCATCCTCACAGCCGCAGGTCCCTACTGTCTGCTCGGGCCGCAGGGGCCGGGTGTGGGGCATGGGAAGGTAGGCTGTCTGGGTTCCCACAGGCCAGGGCTGAGTCACAGGCAGCCATCTGGCTCTCATTAGCCCAGGGCAGCAGGGGGCTCTGTGGGGCGGGCCCTGTGGCCTGCTGGGGGCAGGGACATTGGAGCAGGCTGGTGTGTGTGTGTGTGTGTGTGTGTGTGTGTGTGTGTGTGTGTGTGTGTGTGTGTGTGAGAGAGAGAGAGAGAGAGGGGGATGACTCAAGACCCATGATAACAGCCTATGCGTATTTGGGGATGTAAACAGGGGAGAGGGAGGTGGAGGAAATGAAGAGAAGGAAAATTGTGGCTGGGAAGGGGGGCTGGCAGGGGACAGTCCCTCCTTCAAATTCCCCAGCTCTGCCTTTGTCAGCATCCCAGCCAGGGTGCCCCCTGGGCTCCCCACCCCCACCCACAGGGAAGTCTTCTTACCGGGCACCCAGCTTCTGCTGCCCATAGCTGCCATGCCTGGGTGGGCCGGGGACACAGGAGCAGAGGCGTAAAGGCTGAGACAGAGGGACAGACAGAAAGGCAGAGGTGCGCAGAGAAACAGAAATGGAGATGCAAACGGAACCAGGAGGCCTGAACAGTGGGGCGCAGGAGAGGGGGCTCTCAGTGGAAGCCGGGGTGACCAGCGAATGAGACAGGCCGAGAAACGGATCAGCTATAGCCTGAGCTAAAAGCTAGAATCTGTGTGACAGCTGCAGCCACCAGAGTTGTTCAGGGCTCTGCTGTGGGCACAGCACCCACAGCACAGAGAGAGGCCGAAGGGTGGATGCACAGAAGTTGGAGACCTAAGGAAGCTAGAGGAGGGGGCAGTGACGTGAGGGGGCGGGGTTAGAGCGAGACCAGCAGGCAGAGCGTGATTCGCCTGCGGGAAGACTGAGTTTCAGGCCAGACAGGGCTACAAAGCAGCCTAACACAGCAAGGCCCCATCACAGAGAGGAAAGAGGGGGCCGGGGAGGGGCGGGCAATGATGTTCCTAGGGAGAAGCGTGGGAACCCATAAACAGAAGTGGGGGCACCGTCTAAGGTGTGCCGAGCCTGGGGGCCTGCCTCGAAGGGCCCAGTCACTAAGAGCCTGTAATAGATGGGCAAAGTGTGTCCCTGGCTGGAAGGGTGGGAGCCATCAATCCCCATCTAGCTCTGGGCTGGGCACATCCTCTGGCTCCTCTTCATCAAAGTATCTCTCTTCTTCATCCCGTGCCACAATGTCGAGGTTGTCAAAGTCAGGGTTGTCGTCCACCGTGCTGCAGAGAAGGAAGCTGTCAGGCCAGGCGTCATGGAGGCCCAGGTCAGGGGAGCTGAACCCTGGGGGATGCTGGACCTTTTGGAACCCAAAAGAGGTGTTTCCCAGTCAGTCTGCATGAAAACACTGGCTTTGGGAGCTGGAGAGATTACTTAGGGGTTAAGAGCACTGCCTGTTCTTCCAGAGGCCCTGAGTTCAATTCCCAGCACCCACATGGTGGCTCACAACCATCTATAATGAGATCTGGTGCCCTCTGCTGGCCTGCAGGGACACATTAACACTGTATATGTGATAAACCTTAAAAACAAAACAACAACAAAAAACCACAAACCAAAACCCCAAACACTGGCTTCTCTGTAGACTGCAAGCTTCTCAGCTTTTGCCTCCAAGGGAAATGTGGCACTCTGACGGTCCCCTTGGCCACCTCGGCCCACTATGTGGACCTGAGTCACCAAGGTGCCAGGTCTCCCCCCAATAGGAGGGGGCCTCTTTCAGGCAGGGAATCTGCTGCACCCACCCCTCACTTTAACTCTGGAGTCTGGACACGGAAGCATAAATTCACGGTGGGACACGTTTGGGTCTCCGCCACCCTACAGCTGCCTTCCTGAAGGCGCAGGGTTAGGTCCCCACTCCTGATGCCCTTGGGTTACCTAGTGTGGTAGCAGGGCTGGCGCACGGGTGCCAGGGCCTGATATTCTGCTCAGCCTCGGTGGCCCCCGCTAGCAGCAGATGAACCCCACTGACGGCAGATCTGTGGGGACCCTAGCATGGATCCTACAGCAGTGCTAACAGGATCCCTGGACCACTGACGCCATTCACAGGCACAGTCCACATGTCACTGGATGCGGGCAGCAGGGCCCTGGCTGCTATTTACCATTTGTCTTTCTTTTCTTCCTGAGACAGTCTCATGTCAGCCCCGGCCGGAAGTCAGAGACCCAACGCCTCTGCCTCCCACACGCGGGGAGGGAAGGTGTGCACTCCCAGGCCTCGGTTCAGTGCTTTGCCAACACTGAGCTAAGTGTCAGCTCTGCTCGCAGATGAAGGGACTAGGGCTCTGAGAGGGACAAGGCCCGGGACCCTAGCCACCGACCCTCACTGGTCTGAAACCTGCAGCGACTAACACCACCGGGACCCATGGTGGGGACCTACTCCAGGGTACCCTAGCACCACTAAGGGAGGACCTGCTTGTGTCCCAGGGACATGGGTGCTGGGCCGGGAATGGGAGACACCTGTAGTCAAAGCCCCCATCTTTGCCATCCAGGAATCGCTGGTGCATGCGGCTGGTGAACTCCTCCCGCAGGATCAGCCTCTCCTCCGAGTCGGGCACCCAGGACTCCGGGTCCTTGTCTGACCTCTGGTCTGTGGAGATACCCAGGATGGTGGCCTCAAGGCATCTGACAAGCTACTGCCCTATGCCCAGCCCCTTGCTATCAAGACAGCCCAATGCCTGACCTCCTGGGGTGCATACTGGGTAACATGGGGATGCCGTGGGCACCACAGTGGTCAGGAGGAGTTGGCAGGACAGGGGGTGAGGGCAGACAAGCCGATTGTCAGAGGTTAGGGCCCAGCCAGGTGACGCAGGGGAAAGGCCTGGGGCGGGGTGGCTGGCCAGGGCGGGGTGGCCTGCTGCTGCCCCTCACCTTCCTCATCGCTGTCCTCTTCCTCCTCAAAGCAGGCCTCCTCCTCCTCTTGCTGCCGGAGCAGCTTTTGCTGCAGCTCCCGTTCCTGGTAGGACTGGAAGAGCAGGTCAGAGAGTGGGTAGGCAGGCGTGCTGGGGGAGCCGGGCTTGGGGCCCTGGGGGGCCGGTGTGCGGGCACTGAGCTCTTCCTGAGTGAGGTACTGTCCTATGTACTGCTCATAGAGCAGCGGGGCCCGGAACCGCATCTGCTCGTCACTGAAGTACTCGCCTCCTGGGCAGAAAAGAGGCATGTAACAGAGTGAGCTGCTTAAAGATGTATACATTCACAAAAGATTCAGGTTCATGATAAGGCCACCTGCACATGCCTGAGGCCAAGCATGTTCATAATCCTAGGCCTGAGCCACTCTGTAGATCAGGCTGGCCTCGAACTCACAGATAACCGCCTGCCTCTGCCTCCCGAGTGCTGGGATTAAAGGCCACCAGCCCGGCGTCTCTCGCTCGGCTTCAGTCTCCCTTTCCTCCCTATATGTCCCTCCCACCCTCCATCCCCCACACCTTGGATGAGCTCACGCAGGGCAGCATATCGCCTGTTTCGAAGGCGGGTGCGCAGGGTTCGGGGTCTGGCAGTGCCTTGTCGGGCCACCTCAGCACAGTAGAAATCAGCTCGGTGGTCTCCTCGCAGGTGGCCGAAGCAGGCCAGGTGCTCTTCCCGGAGACCTGTGCGGAAGCGCTCCAAGAACACCAGTGGCTTCTGGTGATACAGCTGGCTCAGGATGGCCACCTTCTCATGCTCTGTCAGGTCAGGCTCACCCTGCTGCTGGCTGCACACAGGAAGGTGGCTGGCAGCGATGGCATGCAGCATGGCACTCACGGCTGGACTCTCAGTCTGGGAGGTGTCACCATTGGGGACCCCTGGTGGACTCTCCTTCGCCTCCTTGTCTTGGGGTACAGACGGAACAGGAGTCTGGCTCAGCTCCCCCCAGTGTGCACATCTGGGCTCCACACAGTCTGCGAGTCAAGGGCAGTCTTTTAGTTAAAGGTTAAGCGTCAGGAAGGGCTTAGGTAGGAAGTGGCTAGCTGTTGACACACACAGTTGACATTTTTTGAGCACCTACTGCATTGTGAGGAATGTTTTAGGCCCTAGACAGATCACAGTAAACGAGAGGCCCCTCTGTGATACTGCACACAGTCAATAACTTAATTAGTTAACAAAAACATGGACTATGCTAGGTGTTTCTCTGGCTTTGTAGAAAAAAACAAAACAGACAGGCCTGGTACATAATGGAACACCTTTAATCCCTGCGCCTTTTATCTCAGAGGCAGCTGGAGCTCTATGAGTTCAAGGCTAGCCAGGACTACACAGTGAGACTGAGCCTCAAAAATAAAAAACAAACCAACAATAAAAATCTAAAACACCACTAATAATAATAATAATAATAATAATAGTGATGATAGAGCATGTGAATGAAACCCCCAAAAGAACCAGAGGCAATGTGGGATAGCTCAGTTTTAAATGGCAGGGTAACAGAAAGCTTGCCAGGAAGTGACATCTGGCTCATTGGTTAGGAGCACTGGCTGCTCGTCCATGTGACCAGGCTCAGCTCCCAGCACCCACATGACAGCTCATGACTGTATCTGCAGTTCTAGGGGATGCAGCATCTTCTCCTGGCTCCTCGGCAATACACGCTTGTGGTGCACAGACATGCATATGGACATATGGACAAAACACCTACACATTCAAGCTAAGAATAAGCAAGTTTTTGATCTGAGTAAAACCCTGAAGCATGAGAGACTGAGTTCTGTACTACCAAGCTACTCCAGACTTTGCCCATTTCCTTGGCCATCCCATGAGGATACAGCCATTTAACTTGTTCAGTGACTATGGTGGTTGAGTAAGAACGGCCCCCACAGGCTCATACATTTGAATGACTGATCTTCCGGGAGAGGCACTATTTGAAAGGATTAGAAGGATTGGGAGAGGCACTGTTTGAAAGGATTAGAAGGATTGGGAGAGGCACTGTTTGAAAGGATTAGAAGGATCAGCAGGCGTGGCCTTGTTGGAGGAAATGTGTGACTGGGGGTGGGATCTGAGGTTTCAAAAGCCCATGCCAAGCCCAGAGTTTCTCAGTCTGTGTATCAGGATGTGGCCCTCAGCTACTTTGCAAGCACTGCCAGCATGACAACGGACTAAATCTTTGAAACAAAGCAAGCCCCAGGTAAATGCTTTCCTTCATGAGAGTTTCCTGGGTCACGGTGTCTGCTTTGGGTTTTTATTGCTGTGAAGAGACACCATGACCACGGCAACTCTTATAAAGAAAACATTTAACTAAGGGTGGCTGGCTTACGGTTTGAGGTTCAATCCCGTCCATTATCATCACCGTGCGAGCATGGCAGCTTGCAGGCAGGGATCGGTGCTGGAGCAGAGAGAGCTACCTCTTGCAGGTGACAGGAAGTCGACTGACTGTCACACTGAGGGAAGCTTGAGAAAAACCTCAAAGCCCGCCCCCGCAGAGACGCACTTCCTCCACCAAGACCACACCCACTCCAACGAAGCCCCGCCTCCAGTTAGTGCCACTCCCTTTGAGGGCCATTTTCTTTCAAACCACCACAGTGCATCCTCACAGCAACAACAGTGGCTGAGACCATGGCCAGCACGCTCACTCACTTCCCCGTATGCATTCCTACATCCCCTGCCCATTCTCAAGCCCGTACAAAGCTCTGAGCCAGGAGTGGCGTGTCCTGCGAGGACTCCTATAGCCCCTGCCCTCAGGGGGCAGCCAGTCTGATACAGATGACCTGGGCAAAGAACAGGAAAGACAGGCGCAGGGCTGAGCCAGTGGGAGCTGTTTCTCACAGGCAGGAAAGAACTTCAGCAAACAGGAGGAATTGACTGGGGTGTGCGGAGGGGGCGGGCAAAGGCTGGCTGCGGGTACTGTGGGTTTCAGCCACTGAAGCAGGAGAAGCCGTAGCTAGGGTAGGGGCCATGAGGTTGGAGGAAGGTTAGATGCTTGAGTGGACAAGCTGGAGGGCTGGGGGAGGGGGTCGGGGGAAGGTCCAGGGCTCTAGCCTAGAGGACAGCCAAACTACCACTGAGACAGGGACACAGGCAAGAACCAGACTGGGTTAGGGAAGCTGCCATGGGTGCGGGGGACATTGGAGAGGCTGTATGTTTCTAAGAGAAGGCTGGGACATGGGCCTCCAGACTCCCCCAGAGAGCGGAGACATGGTTTCCATACATGCACGGAGGCAGGCATATGTACGCACATGTCATCAGAGCCAGGCATAAGCCACAAAGCAGATGCCACTGGGCGTATGGGAGGAGGGCATGCCTGTGAGAGCTAAAACTAGGTCCCCCAAAGGCAGACACGCCTTCACTGCTGGGACATGGGGGGGTGTCCCTCACCTTTAATCCCAGCACCCAGGAGGCAGAGGCAGGAGGATCTCAGTGAGTTCAAGGCCAGCCTGGTCTATAAGAGCTAGTTCCAGGACAGCTAGGTCTACACAGAGAAACCCTGTCTCAATAAACCAATAAATTGAGAGATTATTGTGGATTAAATGTCCTAAATGCAGTAAGAGACTGAGGAAGGGCTGGAGAGATGGCTCAGTGGTTAAGGCTGCTCTTCCAGGAGACCCAGGTTTGATCCCCAGCCCGCACACAAGCAGCTCACAACCATGCATAACTCCAGTTCCAGGGGATTTGATGCCCTCTTCTGGCCTCTGTGGGAACCATGCACAGACATGCATGTAGGCCAAACCGCATATATAATAATAATAATAATAATAATAATAATAATAATAATAATACAAGATCAAGAGCAGACAGACATAGGTGCTGTGAGGTTGAAGCGGAGATCGAGTGCTGTTGACACAAGCCAGCAAGTGCCAGAGCTGTCTCTGACTGGAAGAGACAAGGGACAGCCTAGAGAGCCGTGAGGGAGCCAGGCCTTGTGGCCTGGTTATTCTGTCTGGTGACACCAAGTTTAGGTTTCATTTATGTTCATTTTAAACACCCATTTTCTGGTAATTCAGTATAGCAGCCACGAGGACTAACACAAAGGGCTAGGAAGGAGCAGTCTGAGAAGCAGGGAGGAACCAGTTCATAAAGCAAGCTAGCCAGGACTGGGGAGGGGGGGTCAATGGCATTGACTCCTCTAAGCCACACAGTAAGCGTTGGTGGCACTCGCCTGTAATCCCAGCACCCGGGAGGCAGAGGCAGGCTGATGTCTGAGTACAAGGCCAGCCTGGTCTACAAAGAGAGTTCCAGGACTGGCTCCGTAACTGCTGAGAAACCCTGTCTTGAAAAACCAAACAAAACTGATAATAGTCCTTGGGAGTGCTAGGACTACAAGCCTGCTCCACAGCGTTTCTGTGGTGCTGGGGACTGAGCCCAGGGCATCAGGCACACTGGTCAAGCATTCTGACAAGTTTCATGCTCCGTCCCTGGCTTTGAACTTTCCATCCTCCTGCCTCAGGCTCCCGGGTGCCTGAGATTACAGGGTGGGCCATCATACCTGGCGATCATGAAGACTGAAACCTACATATAGAACACACAGACACCTGCCTCTACATTCGTTTATGGGCTAGTCAGCTGAAGTAACCCGAGTTTCGTGTTAAATGGCTTCGACTATGCCTCAACCCCCCCCCCTCGGGTCAGATTACTCCGAAACAGTGAGTTTTTAAAGGTGAGAGAGTCAAAAAGCATTTTAAAGACAGATGCGGTAGCACGGGGCTGGGACCCCAGCACCTCGGCCCGGGAGAGAGGGCCTGAGGCGGCAGAGTGGACAAGGCAGCCGACTTTGCAGGCTGGGGAGTTGCAATGCAGTGGGAGCTGTGGGTCTGACATAAGTGAGCTCGCTTGGGATGCAGGAAGCCCCCACTGGCACTGGAAAGGGGTAACTTGAGAAAGGCTGGCCCGAGCCTGGAAGAATTTTCAGGGAAGAAGTTTATATTTGCTTGAGGCGCTGGCATGGTCGGAAATGGGTTAGCCCGAAGCGCTGGCATGGTCGGAAAGACACTGAAAGGAGTTCTAAGGAAAAGGAGGGAACTGTCCACCCGCCACAAGGTCGAACAATCTGACCAAGTGCTGAAGATGCCGGTAAACGGAGGTCACGCTTCCTAGAGTCCTCAGCGCCTGCCGGAACCGTTCCCGGGTCACACCGCACGGGCCCCTCCCCGACGCCTGCGCCTGGCCAGTGCCTCACCATCATCGGGCTTCCTCTCCGTCACCGCCCCGGCTGCCACGGCCTCCATCCCCGGTCTCCGACTCACTAACCGCCGCAGCGGGCTCCGGAAGCCAGGCTGGACCTTAAACACTCGCAGCCATTTCCGGCTACGCAAGCGTCACAGTCCGAGTGCTAAAGCTGCACCCAGGCACCAAAGTTCCGGGTCAAAGGTGGACCGCCTCTCTACGCATGCGTGACCCCGCCCTGACCAATCAGGTTGAAAAGGGCGCTAGGTCGAACGGACCTTCTCAGCTTGGAAAATCAACAGGGACCGTATGTCATTTGCTCGCTGCTGTAACTTCAGGTCCTCACGCGGTTAATATCTGGAATTGTTGTGTGAGCATCCTCCAGGAATTGGGAGTCCTCGTAAAGGTCCTCGAGTATGCTTTTTAATTTAGAAATAATGCATGTTTATATGATCAGAGGACAATTTATGGGAGTGGGTTCTAGGGACAGAATTCAGTCAAGATGGCCAGCAAGCATTTTTTTTTTTTTTTTTAAACCCCTTTGACATAGGGTTCCTCTGTACAGATGCGGCTGTCCTGGAACTATGTACACCAGGCTGGCCTCGAACTTACAAATCCACTTGCTGAGTGCCAGGACTAAAAGTGTGCTCTACCAATGCTCAGCAACCCGGCATGCATCTTTGACTTCTGATCCTTACCCGCCTTGGTAAGGTTTGACTCCCTTCTATCATTACATCCAGCCTGTGGCTGGCATGAGGTGAAGTCAGGGAAAGGACTTTTGTGTTTCTAAACAAGGAGGAACCCTGCAGATGTGAGAGGGAAGGACTGGGGATTTGCAGTGGAAGGTGGGGGGGGGGGCTGCCCAACACAGACGAGGTTGGAGCCTTTTAGGTAGGATACTGAAGTATCAGCTAGGTTCTGAGTATTTCAGGTAGTATGGCTGGCATTACAGTACTAGATTCTGTAATGGCTTACTATGGTCAGGACACACAGTACCCAGGAGGCAGAGGCAGGGAGGTCACTTAAGGTTTAAGCCAGCCAGACCTTGTCCCAAGAAAGGGAAAAGAGGTTGTGTGAGGCCATGGCCATCTGTGCCAGGTCACGGAGGAAGGGCTTCCTAGCCCAGATGAGTGGTTGGGGCCTACAGGGTTTGAGGAAGGGACCCAAGGAAAGGAACTGGAGAGCATGACGAGGAAGCTGGTGATTAACCCAGAAACAGGGTTGGAAGAGGAAGAACTACATTAGCATTTCCGAGTGGCCAGGAAAGGGCTACTCGGCCGCATCGTAAGGAGCGGTCAGCAGAGGGCACTGCTGCCAGCACGCGCCTGCCAAGAACAGGACTTCTCAGACAGTGAGGATCCTTCCTTGACTTCTTCAGCAAGTTGACAAGTGCCCTTTAGGCAGACATGTCCCTCCTCAGGCCCTAGTTACTCAGCTTCCCTCCCGGTTTGGCCATGTCGTTGCAACCTGGGGCTTTGTGCACTGTGAACAGTATACCGTCCTCATTGCTTTTGAAGACAGGCTCTATGCTGTGCTGGCAGTTAATTAACTGCTCCTCTTTTGGTGGGTCGTGTCCTTTGCCAGGTTCCCCAGTTTCTACTAGGGAGTTGGGCTGGGTGGTGCACAGCACATCAGGAAGGGATGAAGGCAGGCAGGAGGCAGTGGGCCAGAGTCCATCCCCACAGCCCATGCTATACTTTCCATTACTCCAGGGCCCCTCTCTCCAAACACTTGGGGCTGTCACTGGTTACAAATATGTATTCCCTGAAGGGGGAACCCCGAGGACAGGGACTAACTAGGGCCACCTCTGCAGGGCTCCAGGATGGTGACAGAGCAAGTGGCTAACACTTCCAAAGGAGGCAGTGCAAGGCTGTCCTGAGAGTCGCACGCAGCTCAGGCCTCGCTGTGGGCAACACACCTAGGGATGGACGGTCCTGAGCCAGGGAGGTCTCTTCCCCACGGGTCCCACTATCTGTCTCTGCACGAGGAGCAGCTGGGTGGTGTGAGATGGAGAATCATTGTATTTGAATGGGCGAAGCCTTCCCCACCCCCGGTCGAAGGCCTCCCACCCCAATTAACGGCCAACTGCAGTAACACTTCAGAGTTGCAACCCTGCTTCCTTCCTGGTAGGAGGTGCCATGTCATTTATTGAAAGAAAATAAAACAAAACAGGGTAAAACATTTCTTAAGTGCAGTTTGCTAAAATCCAATTAAAACGCCAGTAAAGGGGAAGTGAGAATAATCCAAGGGACTGCTGTAAAACCCTGGGGGTCTGGCACCCGGAAGAGCACTGGGAGGTGGTGGCGGGACTTCCGGGTCTGAAGGGGAGCACAACCACCCCACCTTCCCTTCACCCCTCACCCACTCAAGCCCACCAGAAACTACCAAGACTCCTGGAGTAAAAGGTTTCAAGTTCAATAGTCACACTCTCTCCAAATACAAAAAGTTACAATCCAACAGAACACAGACGCTTGTGTGCAAAGTTATGGGGAACTGAGACATCATATAAAAAGTTAGGTTAAAGGTGATTCTGTTGCTTATTTCGAGGGTGTGGCTCTTCCTCGGTTACCTGAACTCAGCAAAGAAATAGTTATTTGATGAAGTATCAACAGCTGACCCACAGTAAAAACAAATTCTAAAAATTAAAAAAAGCATAATTACCAAAAAAAATATGTCACTGCTTCCTCCCTCTGCATTTTGCTTCTTAAACTTTTTTTTTTTATTAAAATTTTTGAATTTTTTTTTTTAAATCCTGAAAAGTAGACAGTAAAACAGCTCCTGGAAGAATTTACAACCAACTGCATGAGTCTGGGAAGCCAAGGGGCTAAAGCAGGGCGGGGAGGGGCAGACAGGCAGGGTCCTCCCCAGTCACTGTGGCCTCACAGGGTTACCAAAGGAGAGGAGGCTTCATTAGTCAAAAAGGCAGGGAGAGGAAGTGGAGGGGATAAAGATAAAAGGTCACTGTCGCCTGTTTGAATACAGAGAAGAAAATGCCTGGCCAGTATGAAGGGCGGAACCCTCTGGAAGCAGTGGGCTAGAGGGAGGCAGCCCTGGGATAACTCTGTCCCCAGCACCACAGGACTCAGAGGGGATGGAAGGGGCCAAGGCAGGCCTCGTAGCAGCAGCTGGCGCGGGCCTCTGGAGGCTGCAGCCCAGCTACTGAGTACTTGTGCCCCCCTGTGTGCTGCCCGAGTAGCCTCCATAGTCGTAGTTCCCGTAGTACGGCGGCCACTGGCTCTGGTTCTGATAGTACTGGCTCCACTGCTGGGCGTACTGGGGAGAGAGCGAGAACATCAGGTTAGCTCCTGTCACTCCAGCCTGTCCCTTTGTCCCTCTCATGGTCCTCTGAGAACACACGGAAAGGTATGGGCTGACCTGATGTCACACAGGAATGCAGTCCTGGCCCCCTGGCTTTGCTGGCTGTTCTTTGCAGATGTGGTGGCCCCAGCACCAACTTGGACTAGAACTTGGCACCAGCTCAGCCAGGTTGGCTTGCTGCATTGGGGGCCAATGGCTACACACCAGCTATTTATTAGTCAGTAAAGACCAGGCTACCAAAAGCTTTAGAACACTAGATTGAGGCAAGCAGCCACCCATGTTTCAGGATCAGGCAGGAAACCAAGTTGTGAACACACACAAGAGCGCTCCTAGAAGCCCCACTGGGAGGTCCATCTGGCACTTACCTGCTGATACTGGTTATAGCTGGGCTGAGGGTAGGTCTGGGCAGTGGGGGGTGGTGGTGGGGTATAGGGGGCAGGATTGTAGGGGCCATAGCTCCCATAGTTGTAGGCAGGTGGTGGCGGAGGTGGAGGTGGTGGGGCCGTGTAGCCCTGGGTGTAGCCTCCTTGGTTGTAGGGCGGCTGGCTGTAACTAGGCTGGAGAGAAAAAGACAAAAGCCCCATGAGACGGACAGCACACTGGCATGGAGGATGAGACGGACAGCACACACTGGCATGGAGGCAGCTTCCCCGACAAAGGCAACTCTGCCAAAGTGCCAGGGTGGGTCAGGGAAGAGCACAACCTAGGCCTGAGCTCTGAGACCCGCGGGCAGCAAGGCACCTGCACTCTAAACCTGCTTCAGTCTATAACCATCTCAGCACAGCCACTGCCCTCTGGCTATCACGGATGCTCAATAAGCTTGTGTGCACAGAGCGCTGGGCATTCAGTGAATGGTGGCAGTGGCTTCTGTGAGATTTGACGAGAAGAGCAATGGTGACAAGTTATGAAGAGTATGGTGGTGTGAATTTAACTGTCCCCATAATCCCACAGGCTGTGGTGCTGTTAGGAGCTGTGGCTTTCTTGGAGTGGGTGTCCCTGTGGGTGTGTACTCTGAGGGTTCCTATGCTCAGGGTACCGCCCAGTGTGACAGCTGACTTCTTGTTGCCTACAAGATGCAGGACTCTCATCTACTCCGGCATCACCTCTGCCTGCGGCCACCACAAGAATGGACTGAACCTCTAAAACTGAGCTGCAACTTAAAGTAAATGTTTCCTTATGAGAGAGAGAGAGAGAGAGAGAGAGAGAGAGAGAGAGAGATGCTGTGATCAAGACACATTGTCACAGCAATAGAAACCCTAAGACAAAGAACTTCTCATGTACAGGGTGGATGAATCATTAATTTGTTCAATCTCATTAGCAATTCTGGTATTTTTTCCATTAGCTGGGGCTAGGGAGATGGCCCAGTGGTTAAGAACACTGGCTGCTCTTGTAGAGGACCCAGGTTTAGTTATCAGCACCCATCCTGACTCACAACTGTTTGTAACTCAGGCTTCAAGGAACAAAACATTCTCTTCTACAGAAACTGTACACATACACACACACAAGCAAACATTCATGTATATAACATAAATTTAAATAATAAATTTTTTTGTTGTTTTGTTTTCTGAGACAAGGTTTCTCTGTATACATCCCAGTGCTAGGATTAAAGCCATGTACCACCACAACTCAGCATAATAAACCTTAAAAAGTCAATCGCAGTGAGGTGATGCTATAGGTCTGCCTACCCCAGAGCCCAAGAGCCTTCATTAAGCTGAGGGCTCATCACCTCACAGGAACTTCATAAGGAGTTCCAGTCATGTCTCCGGTCCTTTACGGGTACATAAGGACCAGAGGGGTTAAGCTGTCTGTCCAAGATCTCAAAGCCAGGTCCATACTGGGTTGTTCTAGCTAGATGGCAGCTAGGAAACACTCATCAGCTG